CCCCAAAACCCCAAAACCCCAAAACCCCAAAACCCCGAGTTCATAAAATAATGAAAATTCGGTAGTATTACAAAATTTGATCATAAATATTAAGAAATAATTAAATTACAGATGGATTAAAAATTGTTAAGCAGAACTCAATCCAAAAATTAGCACCCTAAAAGAAGTGAGAGAGTGAAGAATAATAAATTTAATCTGAATGAGAAAACCTCAGCTCATAAGATAATAAAGTCTTAGAGATTGAAGAAACTACTAATAAATTCGAAAAACTCCTAGTTTTTGGAGGAAGAAGAGACGCTTGAAGATAGGTGTAGCATTTGCTTGGAATAGATAAAAGAAAAGACGAAACCAAAGAACTGCAGACATATATATTGCTAGGTTTGCATTACATCTTGGACTAGGTTTTCAAATGTCTGTCCACTTTGCAAAGTAGAATTCTAAGAGTTGTAAATTTTTGATAAATTTGGAGTAATTTCTGAGACATTAGAAGTTTAGAAGCCCATAGAGAAAACATATGAGCTAGAAGAATGGATACTAGATATGGCAGATAATTGCTATGTTTGTAATAAAAATGACAATGAATATTTCTTGCTACTCTGCGATGGATGTGACTATCAACTCTGCCATACTTATTGCTGTGGACTTTAAAATCAGATTCCAGAAAATGATTGGTATTGCAACTAATGTAATGATTAGATAGAGGCTAGAAATAGAGTTATTGAGTAAAACAAAAAGCTTTAAAAACTAAAATAGCTCAGCATCGAAATTATAGATTGTGAGAGTGAAATTGAGTCAGATAGTGATTTTGAGACTGATCATACAATATCCCAGTAAAGTTCAATCAATTTAAATAAAAAAGAACCAGTTGATATATCTAAGATTCTAAAAATGAAAAGCGATCTCTACAACTAAAGTGAAGAAGATGAGGATACTGAATGTGAGGGTCCACTTGAAAAATAATCAGAGAATAAATAAAAGCCTTAAGTTAAAAAAATAGAAAAGGTTTTAGATATTGAAGACTCTATCGAGGACAAACTATCTATTGAGAAAGACTAAATATGCTAGCTACTTAATCCACTCTAGAATAACAGGTCTGGCAATACTAATAAGAAAAAATGCAAAAATCTAATTCATTTAGAAAATAAGCAAATAACAAGTCAGAAACGTTATTAAGAGAAGAATGGAAAACCCAAGAACAAACAAACTAAAAAGAATCTGAGTGAGGAGGTAAATTTAGATAATTTAATTACCTGTACAAAAGTTAAAAAGCAATATAAGAAAAAGTAGAACTATAATATAGCTCCAATCCCGCTATCTTAATCATAATCAAAGCCTAAGGCATCACCTTAGCTTATATAAGAAAAATTACCAAAGAAAGATTTAAAGCATTGTTCAAATGAGAACTCCTATTAAAAAATATCATAGTCTACATGCTTTTCATCAACACAAAACAATGATTCTTAGAAGTCTCATCATTAAACTCAAAAGTAGAATACTGTTGCAGTTTAATAGCTTCCAAAGTCAGGATCTTTGCTTAATATAAAGCTACCAGCCTTTAAAACCTAAGCTTTTGGAACAAGAATATCAATAAATATAATTTAGGATGAGGAAAAGTTGTTTCAATAAAAAGCAACAAATGTCAATTATAAATAACAGCAGTTTGATGAAATAGCTGAGGAGCTTAGATAAAAAGAAATTGAGAAGTATAAAAGAAAATAACTTATTATTAAATAAATGCCAAAGGTTCAGCCTATTTAGAAGCTGAATTCACTATATGAAGATGAAATTCCAATTACGGCAGATATTGATAGTGAGGAGAGAATGAAAATAAAGGATGATTTCAAGAGAAGAAGAGAATAAAAGCAAAAATAAAAATATGAGCAGCAGAGAGCAAAACTTTAGTCAGGAATAAATATAAACTCCTCCTAAATTAAGTAAAGTATTAACTCAACAAAAAAGACAGCTAAAAGTGTTTGCTTCAAAGAGTGAGTGTATGAGAATTTCAATTAGCTGGTTAATTTTGGACTATATAAAACTGGCCTTTACATGGTTTTGTTTATGCTGTATTTTTTAATTCTATTAATACTTAAATTATAAATCTAATTAAATAAAATGGAGATGGAAGCATCTTATACCTAGGAATTTATACCAGAATCCTAAGCCCTTGAAGCTGATGAGCAATCTATAATTCTAAGTAAAAACTCATCATTTTTATGTCTATTTAATTTTCTAGACTTGATTGAAGAGGAAAAGGACGATGAATTAAATGATAATAAGAGAAGGAAATTGGTGAATAAAAACTCAGCAACTCTCACGAGGAAAAACTTTTATAATCAATAATAAACAGAAAAATCATAAGGAGAGAATAAGGGTAAAATTTCAGAGTACGGAGATCTTACAAAGAGAAAAGACATGTTTATGTAAACTGCAAGAACCAATTACGGATACTATGACAGGCCTTTTAAGTTTGGAAGGAGGAATTCGAATAACACTTAACAGAAATCATCAAACCAAGATGAGAAGGAAATTCTGTGTGGGTGGGAAAAGATGACAACAAATAATGATAATTTATTACTCTGATAAACTCACTATCCTATAAGCTCAGTTTTCAAAAACTTGCCAAGTGGAAGATTTGATGCTACTGGTGGTAGGACATTTCAGAATTTTAGAAGAAATAACATATATCAAGACGAGATTCACAGTGAATCCTAGCATGAGTAAACTTTGAGTCATTAAGAATCTAGCAAATCTAACAATAATAACACTATTGAATATCGGTTATCTCAGGGATCAAAGTAGTCGAAATAGCAGAGTGTTCACATTATCAATTAAGTACTTGAGACTTTGGAATCAAGATTTAATGAAGATCTTGATACAGTGAACAATGGTTCAAGTTAGAGAATTTAAGATCTCAATAAGCAAGGAGGAAAACGAAGTTTACTTATTAACTCACCGAGTAAAAAATCAATTGATGCATATAGAACAAAAATAAGTATGAGTCCTGAAAAGTCTGGCTAAAAGTATCTCCACAGTGAGCTGTATGATTTTTCATAAAACTTAGAAAGTAATCCCATGTATTCTTCAAAAAATATACTAAGAGTAAATGAGTAGCAGAATTTGCATTAAATATATTTGGCTGCAAAAGCAGCTAAAAAGAAGGAGGCTCAGGATAACTATCATAAGTAGGTTCTTGACGAAAGTATTTTATAAAGAAGTAACTTACTAATGACCAGAAACATAGATCAATCAAGAATCAAGAGTGTTGTAGTTCAGAGACTATCAAAAGAAGATATTCTAAGATTGATTAAAGAGAAAATTAGCTAGACTAAGGTATAACTATAAGGAACTGATGGCTTCTAATAATATCACAAAAGCATTAGTAAATGCATGAAAATATCAAAGTTTGATTCGGCAGGATGCCTCAACAATCTAAGAATAGAAAAGAATAGTTAACAATAAAAAGATAGGACTAATTCTCATAGTGTAAATAGATAGGACATGTCAAAAGTTCAAATAGAATTGCCTAAGTTAATCTAAGCTTCTAAAAATAAAATCTCCCTTTTCAACAGTTAAAAAAAATTAATGAATGGATAGCAGAGAATAGCACATCTCAAAAGTCTCCTCAATGATACTTTTGATTCTTAAGGAAGTGGATGTCGAATTAGGAGTGAAAGTAAGCTTAGAGATTTTAAAAGGCAAATTGATGATGAATATGATTTCTAAAAGGCAATTAGAAATACGAACTTTGAAAAATTTAATGTTTCAAAAAAAGATTTCTCTGCCTCAAAGTCAAAAATGATGAAAACTGATTATTAGCCTCTACTGGCTGAGAGCCAAATCCTTAGAAGAAATAACAAAAGTAAATCTACTTTCTAAACACTAATTATTCAGTAACTTCTAAATGAGGAACAGAAACTTTTCAATCCGATAAGTGTAAACCTTCTTACTGAAACAGATAGCTATAGAACATAGACTACATCATTGAAGGACTCTAATGGCTCTAATTTATTTTCGAATTAAAATAAGCCTTTTGGAGGAAGTGCTAGAAAGAACCAATCAATAACCTAGAAAATGAATTTCTAAGACTATATGACTTAAATACTAGTTGAAGAGAGACTTAATGATTAAACATTCTAGCGCACTGATAAAATCACTGATAAGCATTTCAAAAAAGCAAGCAGGGATCTACATAGAATACTTATGGACTAATTTATTTATCCCACTTAGAATACATCTCTGATGTGAATGACCTAAAAATGATCTAAGAAGTTAAGTTTGATTTTTTCCAAGGATTAAAGCATGAAAGATCGTTCTATTTTTTTCTATATCTGATTCATTTATAGAGTTTATTATGGTTTAACTTTAAATAATTAACTCAAATTATCTCTAATTTACGCACTTATGGGGTTTTGGGGTTTTGGGG